GTAATATAAAAACGAAATTGCACTTACTATTAAGTATTTTCCGACACTAATGGTTCTAACGTTAAAAGCGGCTATGTTACAGTTTATGATTGTTACATTTCCAGAAAGCTATTGTTTATCGTTTATTAATATCATGTTTTTCTCCGTACGATTATTATATCTATAATATATCTGTATTCCGGAGCGGTATTCATATAAGCACCGTACAGGTTGTTTACCAATCCGGTTCCTCTTTTGGAAATAAATATGTTTAAACCATTCAGGTCTTGTGTATGCTACTTGATATATCAGTGCAGTGCAGTGCAGTGCAGTGCAGTGCAGTGTAGTGTCACTTTACGAAAAAGGGTGATCTAACACTACAGTCAGTAATATCGAACAATAGACCAAGGTCTTCAAACGCACTTGCACAATTATTTGAATTTGGATTTGTTATGGTATGAACGCCAATCAGGTTTCCAAGCCGACCAACTATATATCAGTGGAATTGCATAATTCAGTATACAAGGCAGGTCAGTTTAGTCTCTTTTCGCCTACATCTCAATTCGCCTACAAAAACAATGTAGGCGAATTGGGATTAGAGAATGCACCCCTACTCTTATAATGAACCTGACTCACTGAGTCTTGATCGACTGTTGTTATAAGGATACGTAGTTGAGTAAACAGGATTAGTGCATCCACTGAGAAGTTAAAACAGGGTTAAAATAAAATGACAGGTATTAATGCATGCGATGATGAGATGTAGTTAATTTCTCACTGTGAAATACTAAGTTGTTATAAGGATATGTAGTTGAGTAAAGAGGATAAGATCTGTTGTCACAAGTGACAACCTCAAGACTTGCGCATGATTGTGTTTTTAAAATAATTACAAACAAATAGAGACAAAATTTAAGCTTTTAAGACAGAGATTTCAGACGGCCGGCAGTTCCTGCTGGTAGACGACGGTGATGACAACAGGATTCTAATCTTCACAACCGCAGAGATGCTGGATATCCTTGCTGTGGCCGAAACAGTGTACATGGATGGAACATGTTATCTGTGCCCTAGTCTAAGGACCCAAGTGTATGTTTTGCACTGCCTTGTATACAGGACCAGATGTATCCAGCTGCCTTTTCCCTTCTTCCCAGCAAATCCTGTGACACATATATCAGACTGTTTACTCACTTAAAGGATATTGTGCTTACAACTGTCGGTGTCAATCTCTCCCCTTCTATAGTGCTAACAGACTACGAAGCTGCTGCCATTGAAATGAGAACATACCGGCAGGTCTACTGTCTCGCATGGATCTGTTTATCAAGCATGGTTTAGCTGACTTACATGGAGACTAAATAGTATGGTATAAACAATGAAATTACTCAGGTTGCTGACTAATTCGGCTGGCAAATAGTCTGTCTTTGTAAAAGTCACGTTACCAGATACTGATGTATATAAGTATACACTTTTGCTATCGATGTTATGGACATTGTATCCCAGTTTCGTAGACCTTTTAGCAGTCCTAGAAGTTCCTCGTATTTGCTATGACATCGTGGCTACAGACGAAACGAGTTTTTTTTAAATATGGAAGGATGCAGGAGCCAGATAAGGCAATAACTTATTGCTGCAACAGTTCAAAACTACTATCGCGGACTGTAGCCATGACAGTGACTGGTGTGTGCACTATCAGGTTGTCCTGATGGAACTGTACACCTTTCATCTGCATTCTGCACATCTAGTACTGCATCAGTGATTACCTCAAAGGTACAACATAATGTGCTCCGTTTACCGTCTGGTATTTATGAAAATAGTCCAACAAGACGACAGATCGACCAAGGGGAGTTGAGATTGAAATTCGATGTGCCTTTGAGATTGACATCCAGGGATCGAGGAAAACAAAGCAGCTGAGCTGGATATTGGAGCTACACAAATATTATGTATGTATGTATGTATGTATGTATGTATGTATGTATGTATGTATGTATGTATGTATGTATGTATGTATGTATGTATGTATGTATGTATGTATGTATGTATGTATGTATGTATGTATGTATGTATGTATGTATGTATGTATGTATGTATGTATGTATGTATGTATGTATGTATGTATGTATGTATGTAGATGATTTTATGTATGTATGTAAATATTTTGTATGTAGGCCAAGAGTGACTGTGGACCTCACTTCTATTTATGTATCTATAAGGTCAGGTTGTGTTTTGCTTTCATATTCATGTATTTATTTATATGTCTGTATAGTTGTATATGAATTAAATGCATTAAGTTAATGCATTGATAAGATATATTTCTCTGTTGAACCAACTCATTAACTTGCCATTGAGTGTGTGTTATTGACTAGTAGTCTATAATTAGTATATAAGCATATTTAAATGTTCAGATATTCTACCAGCTTTGAAGGTAATATAATTTCTCTTTTTAATCCATGAACTTATGTCCTGTATTTGTATTGCCATTTTTCCTGGTTGCTCATCATTGTGTAACATTTGTAGAATATCCCGATTGGACACTGTCAACTTAATCGCTGCCAGCTCATTGCCACACAGTGGTAAGTCAGGTGTACATATTGTATATATTGACTGTATATCTTGATGATTTGTGGAGACAGTAATGTGTTGGCAACCTAATGTAACAGGAGATTGTGTTTATAGTTTTAGCAATAAAGTTTTATATTTATGACTTCAAGTTGTTTTTGTGTTCATTAGTTTATGTGCTTGGGTTACTGATCCAAGCAGTTGGTCTGTTTAGGGCCTCAACAGTCTAGCTTTCAATACAATACAATAGCCCCCAGCTTCCTATTTGATTAACATTATGTAACTACAGCTTTCCTCCATAGCACTTGCACACTTTTTAGTCACACTGTTAACAACTCTGCACAGGACAAGCCACTCAGCACAGCTCAGGTTAGACATTTACTTTATATTAACCTAAATAGAATCTCAACTATCCATTAAATATGTTATAAATAATATAAAGTGTTGTAAATATTACTATTTTATATCAAGTAGCCAATGTACCTTTAATTTATCAATATGAAGTGTCTAAATGTATGAATGTGTGAGAGCATGATTTGATTGGTAGTTTGAATGTAATGTTGAACAAGAAGTTTCTTTCTACATTATTAATTGTAGGCATAGTAAAATATTGTACTTATTATTTGTTTTAGGAATGCATTAACAAAGAATACTTGTGTGTGGGTATATAGGCACACCCGGTGTCACCCACAGGAATGCGCATACATATTATATTTTATCATGTATGTAATTATCTATGAGTGATTTAAATATCACCTCTATGATCATTTAAGTTGATCATTTGCATGTTAAATTACAAGCATTATGTAATGTTTTATACATCATATATCAGTGGCAATAAGACTAACCTATTATGAACTAGTTATGTGTTACTGTACTTGTTGCATGTTTAGATTTATGTATAGCATTCTTTCTTGTATTACAGGGTGAATGACTGATCATTTGATTGACTGATCAATTGAATAATTGATCCATATATGACGATGATGAAATAAACGTCACCTCACAAACACACCCGCAGCTTGTCATTATTGACTCACCCCTGCAACACTAAGTATACATTGTAATCTGTACGAGTTAATCTTTTCAGTTTAACTGTATCTAATGTTCCCTTTTGTACATTAGTCATGTATAATTCATAGATGTTATGTGATATAGCTGGTGTAATTAATTTATCAGATATTTTAATATTATTTTTATATAATATTTACAGAGCTGGAAACTGATTAGTGTTTACACAATAAAGAGATTGCTGTCGGCTCACAACCCAGTAGCTGTTCCGCATTATTCTTTCTACTGGAACCTCGTCCGCTACTAGACATGCATGTGTATGTAAGAACACATTTGCCATAGCCTTTCCAGATGATTGTCTACACTTTGCTTTGTTTGGTGGTTATGATGTTAAAGGCTTCCACTGTTTGCTTGTTGTTTGGGTTCAGTATGGCGGGTTATAGCTAAAACGCCACCACAGCAGAACGGCAACGGCATCGTTTGGCCAAAATCGTTTGGCGAAAACGGCTACTGATTTCTGAGCTAAAACGGCACCATATACAAAGTATGATGATGTTGACTTTTATGTTTTAGTTCGTTTAATTATAACATTAGAATCAACATATTAAAAACCCCAATGACATATGTGAATCCATATGAATCGACCAGCTTCTTCTTCCCTTTCTGAGAACCAATCACGATTGGGATTGAGAAGGGTCGCTGTCTACCGGGATATCAGCGAGTGAGGGGTTGAGGAGGGTGCTGTCTACCATGGTTTGACAGGCTTAATTTGAGTTGAGTAAATGTACTGACTATCGAAACATCAAAGGTTGTGATGTTTTCTAATGGTTAAAATTGTCACGCCGAAGACCGGGTTTTCCAATCACTGTCGGCACAGTAGATGTTTTGACTATCGCGGCGTAAAATTCTACAAGCTACGCCGATTATCGGCTATAGTCAGTCAGACTCATTCATTATCTAAACATACTGGAATCCGATTATCAGCTAACACAAACTTTCCAATCACTGTCGGCAGAGTAGACGCATTCCAAAATTCTGTATTCAGATTATCTAATGACAAATAAGATTTTCCCAATAATAAGGATTTTTTTGGTGCCGTTTTCACCATAAGATTTGTAGCCGTTTTCGCCAAGTCGAGGTTCAGTTATGTCTAAATGGTGCCGTTTTCGCCTGGTGCCGTTTTGCTGTGGTGACGTTTTAGCCTGCAAGTATGGCAATGGTGATGAACCCATACTTCAACCATTGTTAATAGACTTTCTGGGTCAGACATATCTACCTATCCAGCTGCAGACCAACAGTTTTATACTTCACAGTGATACATATATACATGTCGTCCCACGAACCACAGACATTACATAGGCCTCGCTTTCTGCATACAAGCACATCTCAGCACATACAACACTCAGTATAATTAAAATGTAAATAAGATATTCCTATATGAGACATTAAACATGAAGACTATTTACCGTGCGACGACACCGACTACTCCGCTCGCCACCCTGCTATACACACCTAGCCCATATGCCAGTCAAGGCCACATGCACAATATGGACTTCGACCATACGCTGAATAAAAATAGCTGTTTTGTCGAGGTGCGAAAAGGTCAAAGTAGTATACAGATTACTGATGTACGCTGAAGTGTGACATTATAGGTTCATGGTCAGCGGTTAAACCTATTTTCATTATTACAGAATTGGGTGGGTTTTTAAAATCAGAACATAAATGGACAGTGACGGAATTGTCGTCGGTCCTTCTTCCTTATATGTCATCCTTCTTCCATATATATGTCATTCAACTGTTAAAGTAACAAATTTATATTATTAAGTAAACACAACATAATTTGGAGAGTGTCAAATCTACTGTATCAAGACAAATGTACAAAGAATAAAACAACTGATATGACTGCAACCTAACTAAACTATTCATGCATTGTGATATTTATTATACTAGATGACCTAATGATGAAATAATTTGAATTAATAAGATTACCAGTAAACTAGTAACAAGTCTTAATCCGTTGATATGAATGAGTTACTTGGAGCCGCTATATAGGATATGTTCGCCACTCTAACCTAACAGTAACCCTGACAGTTGTGATTTTTAAAAGTATTGGTATAGAATACATGTGTTTGAGTATTAGAGAAAAAGATTATTGGTAAACATGGTAAAATAGTTACAAAATAAGGTGGCGAACGTATGCTATAATCGCATCCGGATCGTCTTCGAATCAATGTATTTATATTTGCCATTTACTACTCGGGAATATCTGCATGATCAAGTTTGAGATCGATATCTCAAGGTAAGAAGGTCCAGTCTTTTCTTCTTGTTATATAGTTAGTGACGTCACGTAGCCCGGAGTCAACATTCTCTTCACATACGGGTACTGCATGATCATTTGATCCATCTCAGGTCATTGAATCGTCACTTCAAACATCTCTCACATTGTAGGGTGTCATCTCAGGTGTCTATCAGTCACCCACATTTGTTATCATAAGTTGACGCACGTACGACCCTCTAGTACAGTACGCCAGTCTACAACTATTTTTATCCTTATGTCTCTCTAACCCGTCAGCATGACAATGTCGGTCGGCGGTCGTAACATATTCCAAATGACAGCTCCGAGCGCTTGTGCTGTATCAAACTTCCATCAAACTTACTCATTCACTGTTGAGAACAAACGATATAAGTATGTAACAGCTCACCCTGATGTGTACGTTGCCAGAGCAGCTGCTGCAACAAAGCGAACCTCGGCTTCGCTCGAACAGCTACAACATTCCCTCCTCGGCTGTATGACGTCATAGACTACCGTAGTTCCTCCATTTACGAATGGAGCGTTATAGTTAAGGGCCATTTGCCAGATAGAGGGATATTAGTCCAGGAGGAGAATCTCAAAAGGGGCCTAGAAATAGGATTTCATAGCCTCCCCAGTACTGATTTTGTTTGACACTATTTTCAGTTAGTATGATGTATTGGGCTCGTGAAAAGGCCTGTAACTCTCAGATTGTGGTATCAGGGTTTTTTTACAGGCCATTATATGTGGTGGGGGTCTGCGATCATTTTCGTCACATTTGGTTTGCTGCCCGACAACACCTCAAAGTTAATCATTAATAGTTTTACTACTATCAATCTGATCACTTTCATTTTGACTTCTGTGTACTGCTAAAGGATGTAGAAATTATTTGACATAATTTTGTTTTGAAAAAAATCAAAATTACACCATGCCATTTATGGCCGCCATTATTGTCGTGTTTTGTTCTCAGCACTATAAATCTACATAAAATGAACACCGAATGTTTCCATTTACATCCAAAGTTGATATTTTTTGATGTGTTTTTGACGCTTATTTCTCCTAGAGTGATAGCTTGGGCACAAAACAAGTCATTTGGTTGGTCATAGCATGGTAATTTAATGTTTTACAGCTTATTCTTTGAGACATTGGAAGGAAGGGTATTTTAGCGATTCTCCGACTTTTCATGGAATGAGAAGCTTCCTGCACACACAACAAATGTGAGGGTGATTTATTTAATGGCAGATAACATTATTTTTGTTACTTAAACAAGTTGTTTTTGTTTTCTCTTTACTTCTAGAGTGACGGCATGTTATTAGGAATGTTTACATATTACCCAGAATTCAAAATGGCTGCCAAAATGGCCGCCATTGTAGTTTAACCAGATTAACTTTGAGGTGTTGTCGGGCAGCAAACCAAATGTGACGAAAATGCTCGCAGACCCCCACCACATATAATGGCCTGTAAAAAAAACCTGATACCACAATCTGAGAGTATTACAGGCCTTTTCATGAGCCCAAGACATCATACTAACTGAAAATAGTGTCAAACAAAATCAGTACTGGGGAGGCTACGATTTGAAATTTTTCAGCTGCCTCCTCCTGGACTATATGGTAAGACCCGTTTACATCCGTATGTCCTGAAGCCCTAAGGATGTGCGAATTCCAACGGGCCGGACCGTCCCATATTGCCTGGAAAATGGCCGTGTAACGAATTTATTACCATTAAGAATTTTGGGTGCCAAATTATAGTGTTTTTCAGAACCGTTTTCATCCGTTTCTCTTGTATTTCTGCCCCGATACGGGGCGCAAAGCGTCTCGCCATGACTTGTCACAGATGAACGTTGGCAATCGATATTCGAAGGGACATAACTCTTGTATGATGGTAGTTTTTACTGTATGTTGAAAGGGACTTGTTATTTCAAATAACAGCACCATTTAGAATATATATCTTAAGGTCAAATATATTTCCATTTTATAGATAAAAAATAACTTGACCTACTGTTTTATAATATTCATTGAAAAGCTGATAATTGTGAACGTGCAATCATTCAAAATATGTTTAAGTGTGATTTCTGAGTTTGGGAAAAGTGATATTTCACTGCAGGGACAGAACTTGATATCTTCACTGCAGTCAAAATATCAACTTGCTGGAACTACTTCGTGGCTCAACAATGTTTTCTGTGCAGTATCTTGTTACACAACACAATAAATAATAATGTAAACATGACCATTTCACCAAATGTATTTGGTCAGCAAGCCTGGTACTCGGATAACCAACCTCAACCGAGTAGCTGGTCGCAGCCATTCAGCGTACACAGAATTAATGACTCACTCGCTGTGTTGCGTCGAGTCCACGCCTCGTTTCGTGCGAATCTACCTCTGATCGTAACTCTTGAGTCATGTGCTTACGTGCAAGTGAGTTTTATTTCACTCGATTGGCCCGGCCATTACCTGTAGTTGTGCTTACTGACACATTAAATATTTTATTCTTTCTGAATAGTTTTGAAATTCACGCTAAGACCAAAAGGATCTTTTGATGGATATAATTATAAGTGCTGATCTTATTTAAACAATGTCAATAGATATGTAACTGATACTTATATGTGTCGTCTCGATTTTTTCTGGAAGTGTATAATAAATAGAAAAATCTCCTGTGTCTAGTATGATGTATCTGTCACATTGTGACGTGAAGAACGTCATATTTTCACGTCACTCGATGACTGATGACAAGAGGTCCATAGTTCACTAGCCACGTGAAATATCCTCTATATATGACGGATGTCACCAAATACCTTTCAAAGATCAGAATCGATTTACAGAATATAAAGTAGTTTGGAAATGAGCTCTTCTACACAGTATTGTGTGATATATCATATTTGTTGCTTTCAGATTTACACGTCACATGCTTTAGACCTAAACCTCGCAGGGCTGTTATATATTCTGTTTGATTCTACGACTACACCCCTCTAGCCTCCGTCCCCCCAGCCCCCTGTTGTTACAAGCCACTAATTAGTACCTCTAGCCCCTCGCCTGGCTGTTCTGTTAGCTGTAGTCACTCCCCTGTAGCTGGAATAACTGCCGCTAAGCTAGTTAGGTTAGGTGTTGGTAGTGAGTAGGTGATCGACTACCGATACCTAGGGAGATAATAGTAGCTAATAATTGACAAAACAAATATGAAGATTCTATATTTATTTACATTCACAAATGTATTGATTCAGATCTTGAAGGTAGAGTCAGATCAGGGTGTTTTTTTTCGACATACATATTGTCCATCATATGTCCAATGGCACACAGGTATGAGTCAAGATTTCTTTCACATAACATGTACTCTAGTCCAAGGCGTTTACTCTTGTCGTCTCTATCTACGTTTGGGAGCAGACTGTCCACACTTAAGTTGCAAAATCTGTTATTGGCTGAATGCTTCCTCGTGGATATAAGAGAGACCACCTCAAATATGTTGGGATGCGCCTTACAGACCTTCTTCTTCAGACGTGTGTGGTACCCTTCCACATGGTTGTTGGTTCTGGGACAGTCATATTTAAAGAAGTTCCACATGCCCAGTGGGTATTGTCCGTTCATCCAGGTGGACTCGAAGTACTTGTGTAACTCCACAACACCGTCAACAGATGGAGCCTGTTCCAGAATGTGTGACAACGCGTGTCTGTACTGGGAAACTGGGATACAGTCTTGTTCGGGAGGAAACCAAACACAAGTGCATGGTAACATCACGCCAAGAACAAACGCGTGAATGGTGTCGAGCTGGTAGAACAGAGCAGGCGATGTCTCGAATGTTCCATCTACCTGCCAAGTGTCAGAGTTCTGCAGCTCCTCAAGGCCAGCATTAGAGGCGAATACGATGATCTTATCCTCCCCAGCACCATCCTCTCCAAGAAGGAACCGGTCACCCTGTACAGTAGACGTCCACTCCTCCTCTAGGCTGATGTCGGCTCTTGTTGATGGCATCCTGGGGAACCTCCTCCTCCTCTCACGGTATAGTACTGACCTCACATTGATGAACTGCGGCAGATTAATAGCAGTCTCTTTTGGGGTGGCATCAGACTGGTTAGTCAAAAGACGAACCTTCTCCTCCTGGTAGATGACCTCGCTACTACTTCTCCAATGTCGGGTGGGTGATCGTGACTGCTATCAACAACTTGTCCATCCTCGGAAATAACAAGGGATACCTTGCACTGAGCAGGCTTCCTGATACTGCACGTCGACTTGAGGCCAGACTTCATCTGTTTGGACTTGTGGAACACATAGTGGTCAAAGACTACTACCTTGTTGCATCGAGCACCTTCGA